GAGGTAGAAGGGACAGCGTGGGCGGGAGAGCGGCGATGGCCGAGGCAGCGCTCTGAGAGGAGCAGCCGCGCGTGGGAAGGAGGCGAAGACGGATGTGCGCGCAAGAGGCTCCGCAGAAGGCGCCGAGCGCGACGCTGGCGACCATGTGGAGAAACATCGACTTCAGACCGAAGGGCTCAGTAATAAGCTAATGGCTTTGTTAGTAGCATGCGAGTGGTATTGTGAAATAACTTTCTTCTTTTTCTTGTTTTTCGTTATGTGTTCAAAATGGTAAACTGTGGATATATGCTCTTTTCTGTCCTTTTTTAGAAATCATTGAGTGATATGCAACATGGCTGATTAAAGATAAACTAGTAGCTAGCAGCAGTAAAAATTCTGCGGAGCAAAACCACACAAAAAAGTTTACCAAAAAGTAGCAGGCATACTCTTCAAAATGAACAATTAAAATATTCTCATATAACAGTACAATAAAATTTTAACAGAATCAGTCTTCCAGAATACTGTAATGCCATAAATAAATAAATACAAATACATAGCATAATAATTTATTCAGAAAAATATTTAAAAAAACAGAACGCAGCACATATATAACAAATGTTTACTAGCGGTCGGCAATTCCTTGGAACCATACCCTTACACGGCGTCAGCTGGGTCGTAAGCAATAACACAATGAGTACGAGAATTCACTTGGTACACGCAGTATAAGAATAGATAGAATAACACAATTGCACTTTTCAAATAAAACTGAAATTGTTTAATTATTTTTGTATTTTCCGGAGTTCCTAACTAAACCATAGACATCTCTCACAAAGACGGAGGTTGCATAGGTTTCTTGCAAATTCTGCGCGGATTGGAAATAGTAATATAAATACATTTGCTTCGTAGACAATTTCATTCTGGAGGAAGTATCATTAAATATGATTAAATATGGCCCAACAACTCGAGCACGGGGGCCAGAATGAAGAGCGTATCCTACTTCTCAGAGCTGGGACGTTCGCCCCGCCATTCGGCCCGCCTATAGTCTCA